TTGGATAAAGAAGGTAGGATCCAATGGCCAGGCAATCTTTTATAACCCTCATAGAACCTAGTAACTCAATGATGGGAAGATATTGTGCCTTTAAAGTTGCTGGGAGTAATACCTATGTGGGATGACTAGAGTAACAAGAAGCTCAAAAACTATCTATCTGCCAACTGATTGGGTTGAACATGAAAGAAAAGCTGAATCTTCTTTTGTTTTTTTTGTAGCCCATTCAGCATTTTTACTATAAAGCTTCTAAAACAGGATAGGTAGTTGGCATGATGGTTAAAGTGCTGGGCTCCCACATGGATATTGTGGTTCAAGTCTCAGACCTGGTGGCTTGCTTTCTTACTTTCCCTTTCTCTCTCCCTCTGGTCAAATTAAAGAAAATATTAAAAATAATTTAAATTTTTAAAAATATAGTTCTTATAAAAATTAAGTAAAACTCCCAACAGTTTGAGTCTACCCAGTATTTCTGTAAGACTGTAAAAAGATTTAATATAGAGTAAGTACTCACTGTTTTTCTGTAGACCCCCACTCACCTGTTCATCTGTCAATGGTCATAGCAAGACCACTGCAGCCAATTTTTAATTGTGAGAGGAAATAGATTGTTCTTAGGAAGAAAACATTTTCTGTTTCTTTAATAGAAGAAACCCAAGGCTAAAAAATGAAAAATGGGAACCAGCAGGTGGCATGGTGGTTAAGGTGCTGGAGTCCCATATGGCTGAACACGGTCAAGTCTCTGACCCAACAGTTTGAAAAACACACCAGGTGCGTGTGCATGTGTTCCTAGAGTCCTGAGAGGAGGAGGAAAAGGGATTGCAGCAATGGCCACCTCCCTCGGGAGTGATTTCTCACTTTCCCTCTCCGTTTTTCTCTGGTGAGTGCATGCACCCTATGTCAGAAACCTTAAAAAAAAAAATTAAAGAGTAAGAAATGAAAAATAGCCTGACTTAGGATGTAGACGTAGTTTGGAGAATGAGCATTACCTCTATAAGGAGACTCTGGGGCTTTTCAATATATAGGACACTGTATTTATCTTTTTACTTCTCATATGGGAATATATATATATTTTTCTTAATCCAAGGATAAGATTAATTATCTTGGAGGAGTTTAATCTCTACCCTCGTGTTTGAAATTGCAAGCATAGAGACATTTTAAACATTATGAAAAGAAGAGAAAATCTCTCCTGACAAATAAATGCCTTGAAAAATTAGATATTAGTACTAGTCAAGTGCTCTTTCTTCTCAGAAACACTAAAATTGCATATTAGAATAGCAGGAGCCTTATGGTGTGCTCCCCCCCAATGCCACAAAAAATAAGACTTAAGGAACAATTTCAGAGACAAAAGATTATAGGAAACATCTAGCTCTTCCCCCTTATGGGAAATTTCTTTTTTTAACATCCCAGGCTCAATCATTTCCTAATGTGAAATTACAGATTTTTCAAATTACCATATAAAACTGCAAAAAAATTACACTTGTGACCACAGAAGAGATAGCATACACTATCAATTTGATTTTAAAAGGCATACATCTTTTATACTACCTGTCATTTTTATAATGCCTTTTACAAATTTAATCAATACATTTTAACATTCTATATACTTTAAGTGCAATATACAATAAATATTCAAGTTTCATCTTAAACATGCTTTAGCCTTTAAATTGTTAAAACTGCAGTGCCCTTTTAATCTACTTACATAATGTCATAAAATATACATTTCAAGGTAAATGAAGTCAGCTACTTCAATTTAGTCCCTCAAACTGGTAGTAAATGAGAGGTTAACACTATGGTGCCAAACCCATTATTGAGTAAATTTAGCACCTTGGACAGCTCTGTAAAATCTTTATTGCTTTCCTGACCTGCTCGTCATGTTCTGTCTGTGTGTTCAGTGGCTCTCAGCTCTGATTGAAAGGCAATATATTAGATCCCCAACACAAACACGCTTGGGGGCTAGTTCACTGGGAGCGTAATGACATGGGGGTGAGAGCAATTTTCTGGTCACCGAAATCCAAGCACCTTGCAGGTCCATTGCACTAACTCATAGAGGATCCAGAAATTTCCTTTCTCCTTCCCATTTGCAGAAATACCTAATAGATGCTGAATCACACTGGCAAAGCTGCACTGAGTCTCCCTTAAACCCAAACTTGATACCACAGTGAAGGATATTTGAAATGGGCAAGATACCATTTAAGAGTGTCACTTCCAGGACAAGAAATGCAGGTTCACTCTCAAATCCAAGAGAGCTGGCCTGAAGTGATGCTTTATCAATGACCCAGAGAAGGCAACATACTGAGTGGGAAAACATGCCCCAGCACCATGGATCAAAGAAGGCAGGGTTGTGGATCAAAGAAGGTTGCAACACTAGGAAGCAAGATTCGCATGTTTCGTTTTCAAAGGATTAAATGGCAACGAGAGGTCTGGGCATTGAAATAAAGAGAAAAATAAACAAGGGGATTATGCTATTGAAAAATATTTTCACCCAAAATTTATATAATTAAAATGTATAATATGCATTGGTAGATGGAATTTTCCTGACTTACAAAATCTTCAAAGACTTTTGAGTTAATTTTGAACTTCCCTCTCCCCCCAGTTCTATGAAATGAATTAAAATAAGGAACACATAGGGCCAGCAGGTGACACGGAGGTTAAGGTGCTGGACTCCCATATGGTTGACCACAGTTGAGTTCCAGACCTGGTGGCATAATAAATCACACTGGGCTCCTGTGTGTGTGTGTGTGTTTGTGTCCAAAATCCCAGGAGGAGAATGAAGGAGAAGGGACTGTGGCATAGCATCCCCACTGAGGGTGATTGCTCACTTTCCCTCTCTCTGTCTCTCTCTGGCAAGCACACATGTTCTATGGCAAAAAACCTTTAAAAGATAAAATAAGGACCATTGCTCTATGTCCCCAATTATAGTGTTACAAGAGTGAAGTTAGAATACAGTTTCTTTCTATATCTCATTATGCTTTTGACAGACAGAAGACTTGTATTTTTAATTATTTTTTCTGAAAGTGGAAAGAAGGAAAACTACCCTCTCTGCCAAGCTTAAAGCCTGTGACAAATTTGAGGAAATAAATGAACATAGACCCAGAGAAGTCAAATCTTAGTAAATAAACTAATTTGATCCAGTTTTGTTTTAATCTTTCCTCTGAGCCAGATAAAGCTATGAAGTCTTACAGAAAGCAAGCACCAGCTGAATTTGATCTGGGGATAGAGTTTAGTGTGCCCATACCACTGCAGTGGTCAGGCAATACTGCAAACAAAAAATGGTAAATTATCATGTAGCTTACATTAAAAAATAAAGAAATGGTTTCAGATGCATTGATTCAAACTCCATTGATTATATACTGCTTTTCACTCCCTACCTGAAAAATAACTGAACTGTTTTTTAAAGGGGGTCTAGGAGCTTAAGGCAACCATAAATGTTTATTGAGTACTGAAAACCCCTCCATCTCATTTTTGAATTTAGGACATTATATATGTCATAAGTAGTTACTGCAGTATGACAACTATTTTATCTTATATTATAGAGAATTTAAAATTGAAAAATGCTAATATGTATCTAAAAGCTTGTCATTTCAAGAGTTTTTCAAGGATTTTTGAAGAGGCTATGGTGACAGCAAAATGAATGCAATTATATCCCTATTTTCTGATCAGCGTCTGTGGTATATGAAAATTGAATAGCACTGCTTCTCCATGCAGAAATCTACTGTGTAAAATATTTAAAGTTAAACTTCTGTTTGAAACTTTACCCACAGCAAAAAATGGTAAATATATCTTCTTGCAAATCTCTTCTAATAATCATACCACGCCCTTAGGTGGGATTCTCTGATAAACCTCCACTTTTACATGCATCAAGCAAGCTTAACTTGGCTTTCCTTAACACATTCTAGTGTAAAGGAATCTCCAGAAAGGGCGAAAGGAAGAGAGAATAATTTATTTTGGTTAGGAATAGAAATACTACCACATATGGTTTTGCAGGGTACCACATATTATTAGACCAAACATGCAAGCTAAATATGGAAGCCCACCTAAATGAAAAGAGGGAGATAGTGTTTTTCCTTTAATTGGAACAAGCTATAGCATACCTGTAGGATGAGGATGAATGAGCAAATGGAGAAAATGACAATACTGAAATAGCAAAGTATTGCTATAAAAGCAATAGCTGTCATAACTGCCAGTCATGACAGTTGGTGCAGAGGGGGCTTCTGGGGACAGGAGAATCCTTCTGTAAGAGCCATTGACAAACAATGCATTGCTTCAGTGTGTGGGTTTATGACTGCACCCTCTGTAGCATGGCCCTACCATACAAGGATGATAAACAAAAGAAGTTTAATGCTACATGCTTGTAGTAGCTGAAGATTGATTGGAAACCTCTTGAAAATGACCTGACTGATAAGGTCATGGTTCCTGGAATAAGCAATTAAGTGCAAAATAAACACATCTTAGGGATTCATAACATGCACTGAATGACATTGATTGTAGTAATCTAGTAAATGACCTCAGGATTGTATTCAGCAGTAAACATATGAGTGCTTTATCGTGTCTATGGCAGACTATCGAGTGATGTATTTTATCTTGCAGTACCAATGATGCTCACCTTTTGACTCGATTAAGTGTGTATGTGAGCAGGGATAAATTGGTGATTTAACGCTATTCTGGGGTTCCCTAAGCTACTGCCTTTATAGCAGTGTCTTGGCAAAGGATGGCCAGAGGGACTGGGACGTGATGATGTGAAAAGATAACGACAACCTGCCTTCACTCAGAGGACTGTATCTGCTTTTCTCTTGACAGGAAGTAATCCTCAAAAGGGCTGCAGATCTGGTAGAAGCCCTGTATGGGATGCCACACAACAACCAGGTGAGCTTTCTGGGTCTGTAACTGTGTGGGCTTCCTCACTTCCGTTGAAGATTTCAGAGCCGTTTTCATAGTGAGAAAGCATGAAAAATCCAAAACCCACATGCATGAGCTAAGAGTGTAAGTAATTCGGATATCACGTATTACAAGGCTAGTCAAGCCTTCTCCTTTCTTTTGTAAATCTTTTATTGCCTTTTCTATGGAATCATTTCCTTGTGAGAAAAGGTATTCCATTTAAAACTAATCTTCAGTGGGAATGTACTTCATAATCGAGAAAGGGAGTTACTACTGCTTTATTTTATCTGTCTCAGGTTTTTAAGTAAATTTAGGAGGAAAAAGAGAATTTAATTTCTTCTCCTAAAGAGTATAATGAGGCCTGAATTGTATTGTCTGTTTCCATTAGGTCGTCGGCAAAGTCACGGCATATTTCTCTATGTTTTTCTATGCAAAAATGCGTCATGACGATGCAATATTTCATAGTACAAGCCCATGCATAGGATTCAAATGGCTAAGAAAACTGTGACTCTGACAAACCATTGACTCCTTTTCCATGTCACCTCAGTGTCCAGGGGACACACCATACCACTAATGTAATACTCAGGGACTACTCAGAGTGGCCTCAGCAGCCTGTCCTTAGCATCAACACAAGAGATGAACTGCAGTCTCTCCCTCTCTCCCTCCCTCCCCCTGTAAGCCCAGAGTTTCTATATGTGTTACTAGAGGGAAATAAAAAAAAAAAAAAAAAAAAAAAACCCTTTTACTGTCCTACACTGCGAGGTGGCATGAGAGATGGTGAAGGAAAAGGCCTTTCCGAGTCAGACAAACATGGCTATAAATTTCAGCTCTATCCTTAAGAGGTGAGTATTTAAGTAAGGTCTTTGTCTGACATACAGTAAGCACTTAAAAGTCAGTATTACTGGGAGAATCACCAGGGGGTAACTAAAGGGGTATTTCTTTGTCTTTTCAGGAAATTATTCTGAAGAGAGCAGCTGACATCGCAGAGGCCCTGTACAGCGTCCCCCGCAACCACAACCAGCTCCCAGCCCTCGCTAACACCTCGGTTCATGCAGGGATGATGGGCGTGAATTCCTTCAGTGGACAGCTGGCCGTGAACGTCTCCGAGGCATCACAAGCCACCAATCAGGGTCAGAAGCTTGCTCTCCTCCTCCTCGATCTTTCCCAACCTCCAGCTCTCCCCTCCCCAGTTATTTATCATAAAACATTTTTTGTTTTAAAAATGATTTTTCTTCCCAAAGGGGAAATGTCTAGTTTGTGTGTATCAAATATCAGTGTAGAATTGTGGTTCTGTCACGTCCAGTAAGCAGGTGCCGGGGTGGGGGTGGAAGGGATGCATGCATTTAGCTATCTCTACATTTGACTTTTCACCATAAACCATGAATGACAGATCACAAAGAGGGTTGGAATTAAAGTTCTGAGGGGCCACGGCACATCATTCCTCCAAGGAAATAGAAACCTGTTAACTCCAGGGTACATCTCTTAGATTGGGATTTATTTCTGCTCCCAAATGATAATTTATAGACCCTGCATTGCCACGTCTCACGGCCCTGCTAAGTATTTATGATCTCCTAAGAAATGTGTCTTTTGCTCGCTTCCCATTTTAATCACAGAGCTAGCACCACCAACCCACGCACATGAATCACCTGATCCCTTCCCTCTGGGTTGCCACGAGGGGGCAAGAAACAGAGACTCTCCTTTCCCCAAGCCCTCCAGGACTGCCACGATCTGAATGCCACCCTCACCCCTGGTTCTGCACCCCGCCCCCCCCAGGTTTCACCCGTAACTCAAGCAGCGTATCACCACATGGGTACGTGCCGAGCACCACCCCTCAGCAGACCAACTATAACTCCGTCACCACGAGCATGAATGGATACGGCTCTGCCGCCATGTCCAATTTGGGTGGCTCCCCAACCTTCCTCAATGGCTCAGCTGCCAACTCGCCCTATGCCAGTAAGTAGAATTGTCTGTCCTGTGTTTCTGCACGTTTTCTAGAAGACCTTGATCTTGTGCCATGTGGCCCATTGGGTAGGCGCCTCAGCTGAGGGTCCCCCTCCTGCAAAGCACTCCCCTAAACGATGCAGCGAAAGGCACTGTTATTTCCAGCAGACATCTGTGCTCTCTTGCTCACCTGCTGCCCTGCAAAGTCTCCTGAACAGCCTCAACTTTATAACAACCAAGAACATCCTTTGAAGAATTCATGCTTAGAATCAGATGGAGATGAAGTTGACTCCTACTTCTACCAGATACTAACTGGTGGCTCTGGGCAAGCCCATTTCTTCTCCAAGCCTCAATTCTTTTTAATCTGGAAGATAAAAAAGGAACTAGCTCTCACCCCCTCCAGTGTTGTAAAAGGCAAAGATTTCTTGTGTAAGGATCTCTCTTGGTGCCTGGCACACGAGAGGCACAGTTCATAAATCTGAGCAATGCTCATAATGATGGAAAGATAAGTGGTGGTGGTGGAATGGTGGGGTAACATCTTGAACTCTCTCCCTTTAGGAGTATGACTCCTTTATTTTTTAACACTTGAGTCATTTCCTCTTTGTGTTTGGTGTGCCAAACAAAAATGAAAACTCGAAAACCACACTTGACTTTTACCAAAGAAATCTGGCAAGATAAAACACGCACACATACACAAGAAATATTCTTCGGTGCTCTGTGCCTGTTTCAAAGCCTCAGTGCAAAGGATTTTTGGTACAATGTTTAGATTGCATGTGAAGAACCTCATTAAACTGCCCTCTTATGTATAAAATGTCATGGGCCATGACCCTGCAATTTCTGAATCTCCCTCTGAGGATTTTCACTTAGGTCAACAAGCTCATCTTGACATCAGAGGCAGGGGCTACTCCTCCCTTTTTGTTTTATTTTTGTAGTTTTTGCTGCAGGGCATGTGTGCTCATGAGAGAGAACGAGAGAGAGAGACAGAGAGAGAGAGAGAAAGTAAGAAGCTCCTCCCCAGGAGGGAGGGGTTGCCATGCCTCAGTTCCTTCTCAGTTCACCTCTCTGGATTTTTGGGCACGTACATGCATGCACCTGGCATGTTTTTCAAGCTACCTGGTCATGTCCCGAATTGGAACTGCGCAGTTGGCCAGAAGGGATCCGGCCACCTTAACTTTCACGCCACCTGGTGGCCCAAGGGGGGCAAATCTTCTGATGTGTAAAATAAGGCCCAGTTGTAGGAAAGAAGACATGTTGTTTAATAAAAGAATATTCATGATTCTTAAGAGCCTTGTCTAAAAATACTAAAAGTTATAGTTATGCTGTCTCTCATAGTGGAGGTGTGGGGTACACTAATTCTCTGAAAGAGAAAAGATCATTTCCAGCCTTTAAGTGAAGTCATTTTTGAAAGTATCCTTAGGGCTTTTTTTTTTTTTTTAAGTGTAATTTTTAAAAATATACTTTCCAGGGGCCAGTAGATAGTGTGGTGGCTAAGGCACTGGACTCCCACACAGTCAACTGCAGCTTCAGTCCTGGACTTAGTAGCTTGTTTTCTCACTTTTTTTCTATTCGTTTGGAATCAGCAATTTGTTGAAGATTTAAAATTCCCCAAATAAACTGCATGTATCATGTCTGTTTGCTCAATAGTCAACATTTGGGATCAATTTCACTTTAGATTTTGATTTATCGAAAGATTGTTTCTCATAGATCTATCGTTTCAGTGTTCTCCCATCTAGTCAATCAGAAAATGTTTCCATCATGACCTGAAAATTAAAAGGTGGCATTCTTAATTAAATCAATAAACTAATTGTTATATGGGAGCAATTCAATTTAGGGGCTTGGATTGCTCTCCCTCTCTAGCCTGTGCAGACACCCAGTGCCTTCAGCCTGAGATTACATCTGTCAGACTGTGAAACTTCGAACATTTAATTTCCATTAATTGATTTCCTTAGTGCTCGCAAATATAGTATTAAATTCTCAAATAGGCTCTCAGATGGGACGGTTTTATCTGCATAAATGCAAATAAAACAATAAACACAAAGCCCAGCTGATTTGAATTTTTGCCTCCATAATATTTAATTATTCATAAACCACTCATGTTGAAAAATTCCAATGGAATAAAAAATAAAATAAGACATTCCACTGGTGAACACACTTTCTGGTGTGGTGGCTGATAACTAATAATGTTATAACAAATGGAGCTGCTTGACTATATTTTACCCCTTCCTCTGTTAACAGAGACCCCCCCCAAAACTCCCACCCCTAAATACACATAATGATCGCATTTGCCAAGGAGATTAATTGCCTTCCTCAGTGAACCAGCAGGATTTCAAGTCTACGAATATTTAAAAATCAAACCTCCAGTGCAGGAGTTTTGCAATTTAAATGGGTGTTATTATTGAGCGTATTTTCACATTTACAAATCCTAAGAGATGTATAAAAATGCTGGCCTCATTAAAAGAAAAAGTACAGTTTAAAAAATGTTCGTGAAAACTCTGAGGATGGCAGCCCTTGTGTTCTGCTCCATAAAGCACTCAGTATGTTTGGATTGTGTAGGGCCTTGGGCTGATTACAAAGGGTCATTTCCCCCTGATGGCAACTGCTGCCTATGACCAAAGCTCCAGGCCAAGGGTAAGGCCCCCAAACAGCTCTTTGGACTCTGATGGGCTGGTGGGAACGAGACTAGTCCCCCTGGAGATCTGTTTTCTTAGAGACTGGCAGAGTGGAAAAGGCACTGCATTGGAGTTTGATTCCTGACTTCACCATATTCTTGGGCAAGTCAACAAACTACTTTTGGAGTCTTTTTTTCTATTCGTTTGGAATCAGCAATTTGTTGAAGATTTAAAATTCCCCAAATAAACTGCATGTATCATGTCTGTTTGCTCAATAGTCAACATTTGGGATCAATTTCACTTTAGATTTTGATTTATCGAAAGATTGTTTCTCATAGATCTATCGTTTCAGTGTTCTCCCATCTAGTCAATCAGAAAATGTTTCCATCATGACCTGAAAATTAAAAGGTGGCATTCTTAATTAAATCAATAAACTAATTGTTATATGGGAGCAATTCAATTTAGGGGCTTGGATTGCTCTCCCTCTCTAGCCTGTGCAGACACCCAGTGCCTTCAGCCTGAGATTACATCTGTCAGACTGTGAAACTTCGAACATTTAATTTCCATTAATTGATTTCCTTAGTGCTCGCAAATATAGTATTAAATTCTCAAATAGGCTCTCAGATGGGACGGTTTTATCTGCATAAATGCAAATAAAACAATAAACACAAAGCCCAGCTGATTTGAATTTTTGCCTCCATAATATTTAATTATTCATAAACCACTCATGTTGAAAAATTCCAATGGAATAAAAAATAAAATAAGACATTCCACTGGTGAACACACTTTCTGGTGTGGTGGCTGATAACTAATAATGTTATAACAAATGGAGCTGCTTGACTATATTTTACCCCTTCCTCTGTTAACAGAGACCCCCCCCAAAACTCCCACCCCTAAATACACATAATGATCGCATTTGCCAAGGAGATTAATTGCCTTCCTCAGTGAACCAGCAGGATTTCAAGTCTACGAATATTTAAAAATCAAACCTCCAGTGCAGGAGTTTTGCAATTTAAATGGGTGTTATTATTGAGCGTATTTTCACATTTACAAATCCTAAGAGATGTATAAAAATGCTGGCCTCATTAAAAGAAAAAGTACAGTTTAAAAAATGTTCGTGAAAACTCTGAGGATGGCAGCCCTTGTGTTCTGCTCCATAAAGCACTCAGTATGTTTGGATTGTGTAGGGCCTTGGGCTGATTACAAAGGGTCATTTCCCCCTGATGGCAACTGCTGCCTATGACCAAAGCTCCAGGCCAAGGGTAAGGCCCCCAAACAGCTCTTTGGACTCTGATGGGCTGGTGGGAACGAGACTAGTCCCCCTGGAGATCTGTTTTCTTAGAGACTGGCAGAGTGGAAAAGGCACTGCATTGGAGTTTGATTCCTGACTTCACCATATTCTTGGGCAAGTCAACAAACTACTTTTGGAGTCTCAACTTGCTTAACTCACCCATGTGTAAAACATACATGATAGGCCCCTATTTAAGGTGGTCGTGCCAACGATGATAGGAAAAGGATGTGAAGCTTCTTGTAAATGATAAAGCAATATGTAATGGTTACTAAATAATGTAAAAAGGAAAAACTAGAAGGAAAGGCTAAGAATTTCAATTCAGTGCCTATAAATCGCTGGGCCATACTCATGCTTTTCTGAAAGCAATAGAGGATGTAGAAAGTGAGTATCTGAGAACATTAGTCTTGACTTAGTGTGTACAAAATCTCTGCCTCCTGAAGTAACCAAGAGATTATTTGCTGTGAGCAAAAACATGAAAGGACTGTGATTGTAGAGATGGGCATCTACCACCTTTATCACCAAGCAGCTAGGTTTCTGTCTGAATTGCCTGAGTTCTCTTGTCATTGATTACGTCCGTGCCCACCACTGCCAGACTGTGAATATTTACATAAGGCTCCTACCCTACTGCTTATGAATTCACAAACGTTTATGTAAAGCTCCATGGGGGGGGATAAAGAATGTGCAACTTGGACTTGTGGTTTTGCATTTTGCACAAATACTGCATGAGGCAGCCTGATTATCCACCTGGCTTCCTACCCACGGATGTCTGTGTTTTGGAGCATTAAGGTGCAGTCACATCCTTCAGGAAGTCACGCCTTGTGGAGAGAAGCAGGACACATACCCACCACATCTGCCACTACCTGCAGTAGGAATCCTGGCCTTACCTTCAACTCACTTTCCTTCTCACATCTCTCATTCCTTCGGTGACCACACTGTCCCCAGCTGCCTTTCTAAGTCCATTTCATCCCCAGACCCTTTGCTAGAACCTTAGTTTGGGCCCTACCTGGAACATCTCCCCTGATAGCTCTTTTGCGAAGCCTTTTGTAATTTTCTCTCTCTGCCTCCACTGAGTTGGCCGTGTTCACCTTTGTCATTATTTTGTGTTACTCTACCTAGTATAAGAGGATATTGTGCCTTTGTTTCCTGGTCCAGGAAAATGCCAAAGATGGCAACTCTGTATTTTGATCCACAAGCACTCAGTGTGTTTGGATTGGATAGTGCCTTGGGTTGATTAGGAGGGGTAATTTCCTCCATGGCAATTCCTGACTGCCACCCCCACCCTGCTACCTAGCACACTGCCTGGCACACTGTCAGCATATAATAATTACATGAATGATACCAACCATGCAAGGCAGCATGTGCTAAATACCAAATGGTGCAGCAAACAAGATCTGGAGAGTCCAGGCAAGGTTTATGCCTGAAGGACAGCCTGGGATAGATGGCTGGGGAGGGGTCAGGTCAGATCTGCTTCATCTCAGGATGCTGTGAGTGGCACTGATTCTCTTTTCCCATTGTCCCTTTCAGTCGTGCCATCTAGCCCTACCATGGCCTCCTCCACAAGCCTCCCCTCCAACTGCAGCAGCTCCTCGGGCATCTTCTCCTTCTCACCAGCCAACATGGTGTCAGCCGTGAAACAGAAGAGTGCTTTCGCACCCGTTGTCAGACCCCAGACCTCGCCGCCTCCCACCTGCACCAGCACCAATGGGAACAGCCTGCAAGGTAAGCCCCAGGCAGCCACCAGTTGATCTAGGTCTGAAACCCTGACTTTACCCACCCAGGGCCTGAAGCAGATGTGTCCCTATTGCTGAGGGGGTCATCTGTGGTCTGCCTGCTTCCCTCTGCTCTCATCTTTTTGGTCTCTCTGTGTTCATTCTCGTCACCTGGCCCCGGCTCTCCTCATCCTTTCTGTGTTAGAGGAGTAATTCCAACTCCAGCCATTCCACTTGGCCTGGGATTTGCTTGAGAATGCTGTCTGTGCTTACTAATGCCGTCGTTTCTCTTTTCTCCTCTCTCATTTTCTGTTTTTGCCATTGTCAGACCAGTCTATTGTGGACCCTAGCAAATTTTCCAGTGCAGGGTCTTTCCCAGGACTGGCCTTCTCCTGAAGTAGGTCACTCAACCTTGCATTCCTATTGCCTGTGTCCGAATAAACAAGTATGGGACTGAAAATGGAGAGGGTGAGCTGTAGCCAATCAGAACCCTGTGGTTAAATCACAGTGGACCAAAGCATCTGCTAGGAACTAGGAACACTACAACACCACTAGAGTATTCCAGTTCATATTAAAGTTGTTTAATCTCTTTCCCACCATGGAATATGGAAAATAATGAGAGTTATTAGAGTTGAAATGACCTTTGCATCCATTGAGAAAAAAATCATACCTGCCCTTTAAAAATGGGTTCACTGGGGCCAACAGGTAGTGTGGTGGTTAAAGCACTGGATTTCCACATGGCTAACCATGGTTTGAGTCCTGCACCTGGTGGCTTGAAAATCACATGTGCATGCATGCCCCAAATCCCAGGAGAATGGAGGAGAAGGGATTACAGGGGGTGATTTCTCACTTTCCCTCTCATTGTCTCTCTTTGTTCTTTCCTGGGAGCACATGTGGCCTATGGCAAAAACCTAAGGGGGGAAAAGGAGTGCCATTTCTCACATTCTTCTCATGTGCTCAGCACTGCATTGTGGTAGACCTACACAACCTCATTCATTCCCCTGTAGATGGTGTGTGTGGTAGGTACCCACAGCCTCTACTTTATAGATGAGAGAACGAAGATTAGAGAGTTTAGGGAATTGCTCAACTTGGAAACCCACTTCAAATGTAGGCTTAAAAGTTCATCTCCTCTTTCCATGTCCCAAGCATTATTACTCAGAGGAAGTACAAAGGACACATTCAGGATTCCTAAGGCAGGTGGCAGGTAAATAAGATCCGTGAGATAATTGGCCACCATCTACCAGGCCCTGAACTCTGTGCAGAGCTGTGCTCAGCACAGAGCAGGCTCTGATCAAACCCTCATGACTTCTTGAAGTGTGAGTGCTGTTGTTCTTACTGTACAGATAATACACTGAAGCCGAAGGAGTGTAAATCCTTGCCCACAGATGCAGTCAGTAAAGGGGAAATGAATTTAAACACCAGTGGCGTCTGTGCCCTTAACCCCTGTCCTGCAGACCTCCCTTGGTTCCTTCCTTCGGTGGCCTTGCTTCACTGAGGGGGGTCAGCCAGGGAGGTCAAAGAGGGGTGGGGAGGTCAATGCACAAGTCTGGGACTTCTCAGCACTGTTTCTGATGCCTAAGTACACGGATAGCTAATTGTCCATACACGGCCTCTGTGCTGCATGCTCTGTACTGACAGAAGCATATGTGGGTTCCCTGAAGGACTCTGTGAGGTCTGTGTGATTCCCATTGTATAAATTGGGGAAAACAAGGTTCTGTTTGCTCAGGTCATTTAGTAAATGGCACAGCTAAAGCTTAACCCAAACCGTGTGTCCCCAGAACCGAAGGACCTGATCGCTTTGTCTTTCTTTCTTCCTTTTTTTTTTTTTTGAGAGGTTTTTGCTATAGGGCGCGTGCACTCACCAGACAGACAGGGAGAGACAGAGAGACAGAAAGCAAGAAATCACCCCCCAGGGGCGATGGCCATGCCACAATCCCTTCTCCTCCATTCTCCTCCTGGGATCTTGGGCACGCACGCACACGCGCCCGGTGTGAGTTTTAAGCCACTGGGTCCGGGACACAAACCACAGTCAACTACGTGGGAGTACAACGACATAGCCATTACGCTAACTGCTGGTCCCCCAATCGCTTTGTCTTTCTGCTCCCAAGGGCTGTTCAAAACATTTGTCAGAAGCCTGCTGACCAGTCTGCCCGGCCCAGCTGGAGGCAGGGCCTTGCACAGCTCACCGATGCCCCTCACTCTCACACACACTGGCAAATTCATCTTCTTCAAGGAAAGAGGAGGATTATCTGCCTGTGGAACTGCCCACCTCTATAGAGGGGAGCCACACATTGATGGAAGTCTGACACTTTTTCAGCTAAAAATAATGCTTCGTCGCCTTCAGTACACCTCCAATTGGCAAATGAGGGATACAGTGCTTACATGAACAAAACTTTAATAATAGAGTTAAATAATGATAATGCATATGGAAAACAGAAATTTATCATTCTTGAGCTGCCAGTCTCCACCCTTGTTAAGCATAGATTTGATGTCAGGAATGAGATATCCTGGAGTTTGCAATTAGCAACTGAGGGGTAGCACTTGAGTGGTCAGGAGGCCTGCCATTGGCCAGTAGAGACTTTGGTGGACAGCCCTTCAGCAAGGTTTGCTATCTTTTCATGCCATGTGGACCTAGGAGGGAGCAGAAAGGGCCTGGACATAGGGACCGAGCCCAGAGTTTAGAACCTCCTAGCACTGGGAAGATCTGGTGAGGTAAGGGTACATGTGTGTGTTTAATGTTGGCTTCAAGACAGGGACACATACAATGTCAGAGCATTTGTCCTCTACGGCTTTTCTAACCCAATTACAGATCTCAAATGTTCAGAGACTGCTCCCCCTTTCTGATTATCAGCTGAGTTTCTGCATGGGGTGGAGAGTTTGGGTCTGACTCAGGGACGTGCTTTATGTGGGATTTGCTGTTGTGGATGACACTGCTTTTCTCTTCCCACTGAGCGTAGTCAAGGAGATTCTTTCTTGGCTCTTCCTTACCCATGCTCTGACTCTTGAGCATTATCAAAAACCTTTTTGTTTTGTTTTGTTTTGTTTTGTTTTTTGTTTGTTTGTTTTTGTTTTTGCTTTAGGGCGCATGTGCTCGCCACACGGACAGAGAGAGACAGAGAGAGACAGAACAGAAGAAATCACCCTCCAGGGGGGATGGCCATGCCGCAATCCCTTCTCCTCCATTCTCCTCTCGGGATCTTGGGCATGCATGCACACGCGCCCAGCGTGAGTTTTAAACCTCTGGGTCCGGGACAAGAACCGTGGTCGACTACGTGGGAGTCCACCAACCCAGCCATTATGCTAACTGCTGGTCCCAATCAAAAACCTTTTTTTTAAAGAGAGAGAGATTTTTGCTATAGGGTGTATGTGCTTGCTGGAGAGACAGAAGGCAAGAAATCACCCGCTAATTGGGATGGCCACACCACAATCCCTTTTATTCCCTACTCCTACCAGGATTTTGGGTATACATGCACATGTGCCTGGCATGAGTTTCAAGCCACTGGGTCTGGGACTAGAACCCCAGTCGACTATGTAAGAGTCTGGCAACATAAACATTACACCATCTGCTGGTCCTTCAAAAAAATTTTTTTAAAAAATGGTTATCT